TCAATTAATCCTGGATCCGCCCCTGATAAGAGCAGAATTTTCTTAAAAGCTAGCGGTTCTTTAGAATCCAAAAGGCACTAGCCTTCCCACTCTAGATCTGTATCGTTCTTTTTATTTGAAAAAAAAAAAATGAAAGAGGTGAAGCCGACCTTCGAGAATGATCGGTTATAACACATAACTTGTTACAAAACTGTATTCAGTATTGCAAGGGGAGTCTTCACAATATATATATTGATTATCTTTGCAATTCTGAACTGACATGACTGCATCTAAATTAGCAGGAATAAAGAATGGGCGCATCTCTTGAAACCAACAAAACCAAGACAGGTCAGTTTTGGCGCGAATTGCAGCAAGGACTGAGTTTTTACGACATGCCGGAAACTGTGGACAGAACGGAGGTGAGTAGAAGAAATCGATGTTATAAAATTTGTCTATAAAATATTTTCTTACGTCAAATCCAATGTTACCTAGACGTGTATGAAAGCAATTTTAATTAAAAAGTTACTGTTTCTTAAGGATATCTACCTTTTTTTACGACCTTGAGTTTGCAGTGAAGTGAATGGAATTCTTCTTTACTGCTAAAAAATTTAGTTCTGTGTAGAAACTTGTTCCCAATTTCAAATCATACAGAATCCGCGACCACATTCCACGATTGAAGAGATCACAATGGTGGTGGTGGGGAGACCATTCACCTGCTTGAGCCTGTGTGTAGAAGGTGGGAAGCAGTGTCCTGGCGGTATGTTACTGGTACCCTCTTTAGCATGGCTTCAGAAAGAACCCTCCAACAGTTCCAATACTCAAGGAGATCTGCAAACCTTACGGGTACACAAGGCTGTTACATTTGACTCTTGTGGTCGAACATTTTTGGACATTTTCAACCCACCTCGCCGTGTCACTTACTTGATGAACCTTTCCACGGGTAATTCAAATGGTCTCTATATCTCCTTTGGTTAGATTTGAAATAAGACGTAGGTTTATTTATTTATTTAGGCCTATTTATTTACGAATTAAGCTTAATCAATTAATTTATTCATTTGCTTCATGTTTACAAATCATTTCAACATTTGTTTTCTGATAATTTGATTCCACCGTTATTAACTAATTATTTTTACGGAAATGATGATAATGATATATAAATGTGTTCGGACAGGTGATGACAGGATAGATGCACAAAATACTACCAAATTTTTGGAGGATTCAGAATGCCCATTTGGAGTCACCGAGAAGTTAGTGAGGTGCTTGGATGATCGAATTCTCATGCGTATTCTCGTAGCGGACGCTGGCGTTGCCTATCCCGACACGCTGGCATTTGTGTACAAACCTCAAGTTTCCTACAACCAAGGAAAACACAATATTTTTGTGGTCCCTCTTCAAAGTGATGACAGAAAAGAAACAGTCCATAAAGAGCTAGATGCGTTCTTGGCTTATTTGTTAAAGAAGGGAATTAGAAAGGTATATCTACTAGTGTGTAATTTGGTCTTTCTTCTAGTGGTGAGTGATTTCGAGCGCGCAAATTTACTCTCAGTACTTTTGATTTGTATTCCTGCCTCTTTGTAATTTTGCGTGAGCAAAATGTGCCAGTGTGTGTGTGTGTGTGTGAGAGAGAGAGAGAGAGAGAGAGAGAGAGAGAGAGAGAGAGAGTGAATAAAATGTTTTTGTTGAATTTGAGGGAGATTGAGAGATATTTTACAAAAATAAATAAATAAATAAACAAATAAATGAATGAATAAATAAATTCGTTGAAGGTGGTCGTCAAAGCCCCTCGGTCCTCATCCCTAACTGTGTCCTACCACCCTGCCAGTGAGGTAGAAGACGTCTACAGTGCCGTGTATACAGAAATGGATGTCCTTGAAGAGGGGGAGGGCATCATCGTGGAAGCATTTTGTGAGACCCTTAAGCCATTACCGGTCCCCCATCTTGACTACGAAGAACGCTCAGGTATGTTTCTTTTGGAGGTTTAATGTTCAAATATATCCATTAAATCAATTTTCGCCCATGAATACTAGCCATATATTATTATACAGGACACTGTGATAACGTTGCTGAAGTTCATGTTTTTTTAGGAACTTATGTTCTGTTTACATTTGACCATCCAGCTGTCGTTTTGCCCTTGTAAGAAAATACGGCTTAAGGCAAAGACGCTGTCATGACGAGCTCGAATAGCAAGTCTATCGTACTCCTTCACGTTGTTGGTTTTCAATTATCATCTGCATAGATTAGTCAGGCATTAGAAAATGTTACTGGATATGCATCCTGTATTTTGTTTCATCGCATTCTTCATTTTCTCAGTTGGCATCATGACCAAGCCGCTGTCCAGCACAATTCGAGCTGTCGTCTGCTCCACTCCCGACGGGAATCAGCTGGTTTCGGATATCTACTGCGGCGTTGGTCACGCAGACAGGACGCTCCACTGCGACAATACCTTTCCATTGTCACTTGAAAGCTTCCTAATTCAGTGGGGGTTAAATGGTAGATCCGAAATTGAAAAGGTGCGTCTGTAAAAGAGAATAATGTATGCCTGATCCCGAAGATTTAAGTCGTACCTATGATGACTTTTTATTTCTAAATATTTTTCTTATTTTCTAAGTGACCTCGAGTATAAAAGCTTACGTAGAATCTTTGTTCACGTAGGGACGTTACACATAATCTTTATCTTTATTCACATCTTATAGGTTAAATCTTAATTTTCTAGTTATTGGCAGTAGCTTACATGTATAGGCCTACATGTTATATGTTTACTGAATAAATGCGGTGCGCCATTTAAGTAAAATAATACCTTGACTGATATCTGGCTTTTATATTTAGATACGTTCAATGATCAAGGAGAAGGCGAAAGCCATTTTGAAAACCTGGAAAAGGCTCGAGAGCAGTTTGAGCAAGGAACAAGAAGTGACATTAAGGAGAACAGGCATAATAGGTTAGCATTGAAATGGTTGACTTTCTTATACCATCAGACGTTTTTTTTATTGAATGACACCTCACTTTAAAAAAAAAGCAATTCATATATCCTAGGGATATGACTGACGGTACTGCTGTATGTTTAGAAAAGTACGAAAGTGGTGCCAATCATTCACGCGCGTATTGCTCTACATGCATTTCATCTTCTTAAACTTTGTTATAGTTAGCGTTATCTATCATTTTATATCAGTTGTGTGGTATTTTTGACATTTTAAAGTAGTTATAAAATTGTAATTTTATAGGACCTATGTAATTAAAATTAATAGAACATATATATTTGTAAGATAGTTTTGCCAATGATGATATACAGATCTAACTGTCTGAAAATGATGTATCTACTAAAATACAGTTTACTTGCTTTAGTTCAATGGGGAAAAAGTTGGGTTTGCTTGCAGAAAAAGTAAAATCAATAAGTTATTTTCATACCGACCGTCTTAAATTTTTGGTACATATTTGAACATGCAGTTATGATAACGCTGTGTACTTCGTCTATTTCCAATACTTATGAAAGACTTGGAATTTTTTGTAGGTGTAAATTTCATTCTGACCCAGAAGGAAGACGGCAGTTATGACGCCGTGGCTGTAAGTATCAATAACAGCAGGAAAACCATCGCGAACACGCAGATCTACGAGTCTCAAAACCCCGCCAAGCTTGGAAGTAGCCTACGACCCCTAGTGGCAACCATGGTGAACCGTAGTCAGAGATTCCTACTTCGAGGAAAGAAAATTCTTCTTCTAGGCGTGGGGGAAAATTATCTGTGGGAAGCTGCTTTGGAATACGATGCAAAAGTAAGTGTTGGAAAAAGGATAAAAGTCGTTCACGTATAGGCCTATATTTTGCCTGCCTATGTCAATGCCATTTTAATGTCGATAGCTATAGGTGAGTTTAGTGTAAATGTGAAAATATGTAAGGAGTGTTTTTTTTTTTTGACAATTTTGAGCTCTGTTGCCTTTTGCTTTCTTTTGTGATAATTTATGCGTTAACAATCAGTGTTTTTATATATAATATTAGTATTATATTATTTTTTTACCATTATCTTAAAGTTTTTTTTTTATTTTTTAGATAATTCTAATTGACCCGGATCCTATCCAAAAAGAGGTTAAAGGGATTTACAAGTTTATTCAATGTGATATAGGAGATCATAGCCGTGATGATGACAACGCAGAGAAAATTGTTCGAATAGTACGTACACATGATTTAGCCATAGACGGCTGCATGACCGTGGTGGAAGATTACGTTTCTTTGACGTCACTGGTGTGCAAGGCACTGCGCATGATCGGAAGTTCACCTGATGCTGCAAGAATAACCAAGAAGAAAAGCCTCACCCAAAGAGCGTTAGAAGAATCTAGAAACAAAATTCCTTTTTTGCCCAGCCCCTCTCGTTTTGCCGTCAAAACTCTGGAAATTAACAAACCTGGGGATGTGACGGGCTCGTCAAATCTTATCCAATACCCCGCCCCGAGTACGGGACAAGTTCCTTTGGAATAACCTTAGTAAACGACGAGAAAGATTGTGTGAGATGCTTCATAAGCACCCAGAACATCCTAAAGATGACAGACGAACCATATTTCGGGATGAATCACGGAAACGAAATGCACTTAGCTGAATATGCACAAGGAACCAAACACGGAGTAGAGGTCGCCATATTTAGAGGAAAGGTTTTAGCGGCATTTATCGCAGATAATGGTCCAACCAACGTTCCACAGTTTTTTGAGACATCATCGTGTATGCCGTCATGTTTGCCCCCTGATAAGCAACGGCAGCTGATAACAGCAACGTACCAATGTCTTAGCACGGTTGGCCACACTGACGGCGTATTCAACGTAGAGTTCAAAATGACTCCTTCGGGTCCAAAATTGATTGAGATCAACGGACGAATAGGTGGCTGGTTTTACAGGAACTGGGTTCGCACCGTCTTCGAAACGGATCTTCTCTTCCTAAATTTCCTGATCGCGTGCGGAATTCAACCAAACGTCAAACCGTTGGAGCCATCTTGCCAACTCATGGGGATTGTTTGCACGCCAAAAGACCACGCCAAGGCGCTGTCACGGCCGGGTATGGTTACGCCAGAGATCCTTGCCGAGGCTCACGGGCGAGGGGAGATAATGTACTACGAAATTGAACCAACAATGGAGGGGAAGCTAGATTACGAGTCTGGATGTTGTCAGATAGCTATAAAGGGGAAATCTATAAGCGAGGCGAAAAGAAGGCTTTTGGCTGTATGCAGAAAATACGGCGTCGACAACCCAGAGTCCCCGGTGAAGCATGTTCTTTCTACGTTCGTGGAGCCGCCTGCGTTTATGCAAAAAGACTATGAGTAGCGCAAGTAGTTTTCTGTTATTAAATGTGAAATATATCCACGTAGCTGATTTTGGCATATTGAAGAAATATTAGTAGTTCTAAGAATGCACTGAGTATCTTTCAAGATAGAAATGTAATTACAATGCCTTGACTGAAAACTTGCTCACACATTGACTAAAACAATTACTGAAGAAGAAATTCCCAATCGGCAAGATTAAGTTAATTGATTGTATACATGTTGTATTGCTATTACATATAAAGTATATAAGTCTATCCAATAATCAAGAGTAGAGCGACATAAATCGTTAGTTATAGACAGATAATATCTTTGATGGTTTGAGGGCAACGTACATTGTATACAGGGGTATATTGCTGCGACGAAGGCCATTTGCTTGTTAAATCACCATGTTCCATCGAAATGTTTGGAAAATTTAAAAAGGACTTTTATGTTGTAATTCTATGTAATCATCAATGCATAAAAAGTGGTTATGCGCACCTTATTTGGAAACGCTTAGCTTTAACTATTGGTTTTGAACAGATTCCGAGTAAAGTGATTCTTGGATTACTATATATAGTCATAACACTTATTTTATGTTAAGTGGATTTTATTACTTTATTGCATTTCATGTTACTGTTTCGGTGTCAGTGAAATAACTCTGTATATTAAACATGGTCAACTATGTCAAGCCAAATAAACAAGTTTATGAATTAAACTTATAAAAAATAAAGGCTGAAGAACTTAATTTGTAGCTGTGGTTAGGAGTACCCTCTACCGACCGCGTATGTGAATTTTGTGCACATTTCTGGAGTTGGGGGAGGCTTAGCAACCACGTTTTTGAAACATGTCAGTCATACGTGCTGGAGGCTACGAAACCCCACTATCCTGAGTATTTTTTAACCTTTTACCCCCT